GTGAAGTTCTCTGGCTTTCCGAGTGTGTGGAAGGAACAAGTGGCTGCAGGGCAGCAGATGACAACTTTGCTGAGGCAATACAGGCAGTGTTGGAGCTTGACATTCACACCCAAGGAACATGGGCACAAAACATAGCTCTTCGAGCTGGCTTGTTGGGGCATCGTCCTTGGAAGGGCAGGAGACAATGGGGGGGATGCCTACAGGAGGAAAAAAAATCCAACAGAAAAACCCAGCAACTGGGTAGCTACATACAACTGAAGAAAAAAGGAATGGACAGAGTTCTCTTAGCAAGCTAAGAGCACCGAAGAACATGGGTTCTGATTCTGGCCAGGAGGCATTAAGAGAGAACTGGAGTGGCATCAATCCGCACAAAGCCTCAGATGCGCCACTGGGCTGATGCAAATGTAGCTCACTGGACACTACTACAAAGTGCACTCACATGTGGGACCATCACTTAAAGAAGAAATAAGCATTGCTGCTGAAATTACTCTTAAAAAACCCCACAAAACCAAACCAACCAACCCCAAGGCTAAGGTCAGAAATAATAAATTCTTAATGCTGCTGTATCACACTCCCATCCCTTTTCCCTTACAGCAGTTAAAACACACTCTATGACCCTAATTACCATCCATCTAAAAATAAGTGCTCTTCACATAGGGAGGTGCAAACTTTGCATAGTAGGATGCTGAAGTGTCTCTCAACATATAACAGGAGTTCATTAACAGTTGATTGTGGTAATTAGAATTCACAGTTGATAAACACAATAGGGTCGGCTTCCTTTCTCTCTCACAGGGAGTATTGACAGTGATACTGATGACCTTTATATGATTTTCCATCTGAATTTTTTAAACCTATTCTCCATCATCAAAACATTGCAGATACTTTTCACTGGCACAGTATCTGAGGGTAGGTATCAGGATTTTTTTTTCCTCAGAAGACACCAGAGATTGATCCATAGGGGAGGGTGGAGGTTAGGATACTCACTTCCTTCCCTACTTATGGGCCCATGCTAACACTTGGTTGAGCTTGAGCTGCTATTCTACATGGGGTGGGATTAAGCAAATTTAATAGACTTAACCTCAGGAATTGGGGAGCTCTTCATCCCTTTGTAGATTGCCTGTCAACACTGCTGCTCTGTTCTTTTGCCCGGTCCCACTGATCTGATTTGGAACCCTGTCATGTAGTGGAGCAAGATTCAGAGCTGTGAGCAAGAATGGCAAAAAGTTTGCGCCTCAACTGTCAAAGAATAACTTATTCTAGTTTCCTAAGAACTTGGCTGAACTGCCTCAAAGTCCCATGATTAGCCCTTTAGTCATAAACTGAAGGAAATGCTATGATACAGAAAAATCACTTGATGAAAACTGCAGTTTTTTCATTATCCCCAAACGGGTGGAAAAAAAGGTGGATTTTTTAAAAAATACTAAGACCTCATATGAATATGTAAAAACTAACAGAACAGAGTCCCCTGACTTAAGGTAACTTGTTCTGTGCCTTTGTTCTTTTAGTAATTACACAAATAAGTAGTACATTAATCACACTAGACAATTTCAGTAGGTTTGTTAAATATCTTTCTATATTTATAAATTTATCACTATAAATCTGCATCAGTCTGATCTCACAGAATCTTAGAATACTAGGACGAAGGGACCTCGAGAGGTCATCGAGTCCAGTCCCCTGCCCTCATGGCAGGACCAAATACTGTCTAGACCATCCCTGATAGACATTTATCTAACCTACTCTTAAATATCTCCAGAGATGGAGATTCCACAACCTCCCTGGGCAATTTATTCCTGTGTTTGACTACCCTGACAGTTGGGAACATTTTCCTAATGTCCAACCTAAACCTCCCTTGCTGCAGTTTAAGCCCATTGCTTCTCGTTCTATTTTCAGAAGCCAAGATGAACAAGTTTTCTCCCTCCTCATGACACCCTTTTAGATACCTGAAAACTGTTATGTCCTCCCTCAATCTTCTCTTTTCTAAACTAAACAAACCCAATTCTTTCAGCCTTCTTTCATAAGTCATGTTCTCTAGACCTTTAATCATTCTTGTTGCTCTTCTCTGGACCCTCTCCAATTTCTCCACATCTTTCTTGAAATGTGGTGCCCAGAACTGGACACAATACTCCAACTGAGGCCCAACCAGCACAGAGTAGAGCGGAAGAATGACTTCTCATGTCTTGCTCACAACACACCTGTTAATGCATCCCAGAATCATGTTTGCTTTTTTTGCAGCAGCATCACACTGCTGACTCATATTCAGCTTGTGGTCCACTATCACCCATAGATCCCTTTCTGCCGTACTCCTTCCTAGACAGTCGATTCCCATTCTGTATGTGTGAAACTGATTGTTCCTTTCTAAGTGGAGCACTTTGCATTTGTCTTTATTAAACTTCATCCTGTTTACCTCAGACCATTTCTCCAATTTGTCCAGATCATTTTGAATAATGACCCTATCCTCCAGAGCAGTCGCAACCCCTCCCAGCTTGGTATCATCTGCAAACTTAATAAGCGTACTTTCTATGCCAATATCTAAATCGTTGATGAAGATATTGAACAGAGCTGGTCCCAAAACAGACCCCTGCAGAACCCCACTTGTTATACCTTTCCAGCAGGATTGTGAACCATTAATAACCACTCTCTGAGTACAGTTATCTAGCCAGTTATGCACCCACCTTATAGTAGCCCCATATAAGTTGTATTTGCCTAGTTTATTGATAAGAATATCATGCGAGACCGTAGCAAATGCCTTACCAAAGTCTAGATATGCCACATCCACTGCTTCTCCCTTATCCACAAGACTCGTTATCCTATCAAAGAAAGCTATCAGATTGGTTTGACATGATTTGTAGCATCCAAAATATAATCTCTGCTTTTTTGGCTCCCATGTTCTACAACAGTGGGCTAAACAGTTACAATTAAACTGTCCCATCCAGTGACTATCTGCTTCACAACTCTTCCCACATTTTAGGAGCAAATCTACATTGATACTTTCAGGGTCTAGCAAGGCTCTGGACACAGCAGCACAAGTGCAGATGAAGAAGGGTCTTCACATGTAGCATAGCTCTACAGGCACTCATATTTATAGAAAAGAGGATGGAAAGCAAAGACGACCCACAGCTGAGCTGGTCATGTTGCCTGAATGCCTTTGTACTATTCATCCCTGATTACACATATGCCTGTTAGTTTATGAAACTGTACACCATTCATCCCTCCCCTAGCAGAAAATAATATGGACTTTTTTTCTTGCTGGTAAAAACAATGGATGGACACCCTTTGTTACCCCAGAGTCTCAGTAACAAGCATAATCTTTTGAATTAATTTAGAATTTAGGATAAGGGATCTGATTGGTGTTAAATGCTCTGGTTACCAGAAGGGAGGCCTTTGGCAGTGTAGATTAACTGAATTATGACCCATACCAACATATCTGCATAGACACATAAGCAGTGTAGTTCCAAACCTGACCATTGTACACTTTATAATAGTCATGTTAGCGTGTAGTCATTTACATGCTTAATCAATAAGTCTGGGCTCATCAGTTAATCTTAATGACTACAGCAAGGAAAAGCGGGAGCCAGTGACCACGGAGCCAGTGCCCCCACAACGCCCCCTCTGATAGGCAGCAGTGCAGGGGGTGAGGGCAGGTGGGAGCCTATACATGCAGGAAGCTGGCTTTCAAGCTGACACCCTGCGCTTGCTGGCTCGGCTCCCATGGAGCTGCCTGCCCCCTTCCTTCCCCAAACACGCTGCTGCCTCTGAGGCAGCAGCACAGAAGGGCAGAGGGAGCTGGTACACATGGAGCTCTGGTTTTTAAGCTGGCTCGCAGCATGTGTCAGCTACCATGGAGCCTCCCACAGAGGCAGCAGCGCAAGGCGTAGGAGGGAGCTGGTGTTCAGGGAGAGCCAGCTTTCAAATGAACTCCCCATGCTGCTGCCTCTATAAAAGTCAGCACCCCACAAGCACCAGCTGCCTCCTTCCTCCTGCCCCCTGGCATGTAAACATGTAAGTGCTAAAAATCCAGCAATTACACATTTACACAAATACACGTTAGTTAACATCCCTGCTTTATAAAAGCATTAGGGAGAAATGAACATTAAGAGGGATGGAAGATGTTTAATTAAAATCACTAGAACAGGGGCGGGAAACCTCCCATTAGCAGCCCAAATCCATCCCCCTGCTTAATTTCATCCAGCCTGTGGTGGCCCACTACAGGACTGGAGCTGTGAGTGCTGGCTCATGGCGATCAGGGAAGCTCCATCTGCTGCCTTTGCCCGCAAAGTGCCACTCCCATAGCTCTCATTGACTGCGAGCCGTGAGTAACAGGAGCTGTGGGGGTAGTGTCTGCAGGCAAAGGCAAAGTGCGGAGCTGCCTGCCTGCCCTTAGGGACCGTAGGGACACATGCCAGCCACTTTCAAATCTGGGAGCTGCTGAAGTTAAGCTCTCTATACCCTCTCTTGTACTCCAACCCCCTAATCCCAGGCCTTAGGTCCCTCCTGTACCCTACCATCCTTCCAAACCCAAGACCCCAACCCCATAGCTCAGCCAGATCCCCCTCCTGCAGCCAAACTCCCAACCTAGACACCACACCCCTACTCCAACTTCCCACCTGGAACTCGCTCCTGTACTCAGAGCCTCCTCCTGCACCCCCAACCTCACCCCAGAGCCTGCATCCACAGTTGGAGCTCTCACCCGTCTCTGCCCCAGCCTGCAGCCCCTTTCCTTTATTTTTGACCCTATGCCAATTACAGGGTTGCCAACTTTCCTGATTGGATGATCCAGATGCTGCTGCCATTTGCAGCGATGGCATCCATTTGGGAAAGTTGGCAAATGTAATCCCAAAACTTAGGGGAAGCCCAGAGCCACCTTCCTTGCTCTACAGGGCTGCGTGTGGCCTGCAACTGCTTTTTTCTGGTGATCAGTTGCTCCTGGTAGGGAAAAAATTCCCCACACCAGCACTAGAAGTTTGATGATTGAATCAATGAAGCAATTAAAAACCATGTATAAAAACATTTTTACTAAGTCAGTCATAAAAGAAACGCACTTGCTATTTACTACGAATAAGTACAAATCATTGAAACTGATAAGAATTCAGTTCTCATTAACATTTAACTCTACAAACTAATTATTAAATTTGTCCCCTGAAATATTCAGTGAAAATTATGCAGAACAGGTCACAATACACAGCCGCTGTTAACAAGGTCCAAGTTATTTTTTGGCTCTGTCATTGTCTCCAGTCTGTGCTCAAAACTTATTGAGGGTAAAGATCACTTTTCAGTCTCAGTCTCAACTTCACTGTCTTCACTATCACTATCTCTTCCTGGATGCTCTGGCATTTTCCTAGGCTCTTCCTCTTCTGCCGCTTTCATTCCTTCTTCTTCTGCCACGTTCACTTGCTCTTCCTCCATTGCCTCGTCCTCTTCTTTCATTGTCTCTTTGCTCTCCACTACTGGTGTGCTTTTGGTTTCAACTTCCACTTCTGCTTCCTGAGTTTGAACTGTTTCACTGTCTTCAACCAGGGCTGGTGGGGGCAATAAATCCTGCCAATATAAAAAAGAGGAAGATTGTTCAATACACAAACATAACTTCAAGTTTTATAAGCCTTGTATACTTCTTTCTCTTTTAGCTCAAATTACTCACCTTAGATCTAAGACCTAAACACTTTTAATCATTTTTGCATAAAAGCAGAAATACTAACCACTAAAGACTGAAATTTCTGTCTTCCTTACATTCACAAGTATTCACTGTTTCTGAACATTAGTGAACAATTAATGCAACCTAAAGAGGTGAAGAACTAGTCGACTACACAATAAGTTAATGTGTCTCGGATAGACAACAAGCTAGTCGACTAGTTGCTTCCCTCCCTTGCTACCTATCACAAAGAGGAAGCAAGGGGGTGGAGAAGAAAAGAGTGTACTTCAAAGTGGCAGCACCGCTTGAAGGCTGGTGCCAAGACCCTGGGCTCCATGCAGCGCTTCTGCTTTGAAATACTGTGTGCAGCCTGGGACCAGCTGTGGGGTTTCCAGGCTACAGGCAGCGTTTCAAAGCGGCAGTGCCATGTGGAGCCTGGGATCAGCTGCGGACTCCCCCAAAGACCCCGGGCTCCGTGCGGCACGGCTACTTTGAAATGCCATGGGGAGCCCAGCGTCAGGCTACACACAGTATTTCAAAGCAGCAGTGCTGCATGGAACCCCAACTGATCCTGGGCTCCATGCGGTGCTGCTGCTTTGAAACGCCGCGAGGAGCCTGATGCCAGCAGCACAGCACAGATCCCAGGGTCAGTGGGGGAGTCCCCAACTGACCCCAGGCTCCAGATGTCACTTTTGCCTTTAAAAGTTCAAAGGCGGAGGCGCCCTATTGACTAATCAAATAGTTGATGCAAAATGCATCAACTAGTCCAGCGGTTCTCAAACTTTTTGGGCTCCGGAGCCCTTTGCATGTTTGGGTGTTAATTGCGTCAGTTTGAGGTGATTCTCAAGTATGCTTTTGAAGGCTCTCCAGACCCCTGGAGAGGTCTCGCAGAGTCCTGGGACTCTGCAGAGCACAGTTTGAGAAACACTGAACTAGTCAATTAGTCGGTATTTGACATCCTTAATGCAACCCCATTAGAGATATGATTGAAAATGAATTTAGCACACACTCAGGTCTTACCAGTTCATGCATTCCAAATTAACTGAATCCTATGAAAAAAAGGGTAAGGATAAAAGGGCTAAAAAAAATGAGTTGTGTCATACAGTGGTCTACCAGAGACCACTTAACTAGGAAGAAGGAGAATAGAAATTTTTTGAACAAAATCATCCAAAACACAGAATTTGGTGGTTGATAGGGGACTTAAACTACCCAGACATCTGTTGGGGAAATAATGCTGCAGAGCAGCGATTATCCAAAAACATTTATGGAATACATTGGAGCTAACTTCTTAATTACAGAGGGTGGAGAAAACAACTAAGGGAGAATCTATTGTGGATTCAATTCTGACAAACAGGAACAGAGAATCTGTTGGTGGAAGGCAGCTTGGGTAGAAACAATCATGAAATGACAGAATTCATGATTTGAAGGAATAGTAGGAAGGAAAACAGCAGAATACAAATAATGAACTTCAAGAAGGCAAACGTCAACAAACAGAATTGATTACTAAGATCCCATAGGAAGCAAGTGTAAGGGAAAGAACAGTTCAAGAGAGTCAGCAGTTTTTTAGAGAGACATTGTTAAGGACACAAGGACACGAGCACAAACTATAACAATGTGCAGAAGAGACAGGAACTATCTTGACTTAATCAAGAAATCTTAAATTACTGAAACTCAAAAGAGTCCTTCAAGAAGTGGAAAGTAAGTCAAATTACAAAGGATGAATAAAAAAAAATTACATGCATGTTTGGACAAAATTGGAAAGGCCAAAAGGAAATTAAACTATATTATCTACAGGGGTGGAAGTGCTATAAAGGGTAACAAGAAAGCATTTTACAAATATAAGAAAAGCAAGAGGATGACTAGGGACAGTGTAGGTTCATTAAAAAAATGAGGAAAAGACAACAAGAGAAAATGCAGTGATGAAGAAAATGCCTTTTTTCTTCAGTTTTTCTCCCAAAAGTTATTCGTAACTGGGACTAACATAGTGAACATCATTGCAAAAGGGGTAGAGAAATGGAGGCTAAAATCGGAAAAAAAAACCCCAAGAATTACTTCTCAAACGTAAATGTCTTTTAGTCAGCAAAGCCTGATAAAATATATTCTAGAATACTCAAGGAACTGGCTGAAAAGCTCTTAGAGATACTAAGTGAGTATCTCTGAGAACTCCTAGATAGATGAGAGATACACCTGAGGACCAAAAAAAGGGCTAACAGTATTTATCTATAAAAAGAAGAATAAGTAGGCCTGAGGGAATTCTGCACACAACATTTTAAAATGTTGCATATTTGTCAGTAAATAAATGTGGAGACGCCAGCATAGTCCACTGGCTATGTGGAGGTGGGCAATCACCCTGCAATCTTCCCCATCAAGACACAGACTCGGTTCTGAAGCTACAGACAGAGTGCAAGGGACAGATCTGCCCTCAAAACACCCGAGCACCTGGCTCATCTGCACCAGGAGCATCAAGATAGCAAGCAAGGGGGATACAGTGTGGGGGGATCCAGGGTTTAGAGGGTTCTGGGTGTGGGCAGCTCAGGAATTGGATGGGGGGGAACTGTATGAATAGGGACTTACTAGGGGTTTCCTGCTTCATGGTAAGTGGGACCCTGCGGGGAGGGACCAGGTGAAGGTGATTGGGTCTCAGCAAGGGGGTCTGGATGTAGGGTGGGTGAGGCTCAGAAGTGGGCAGTCTAGGTAGAGGTGGCTCAATAGACTAGTGCACAATTAGGGGAGGCTTAGTCAGGAGCACACGATTAGGTGAGGTCCAGATGTAGGGGAAAGACACTCGGCAGAGGTCTGGATGCAGGAGAGGGTGAGGCTTGGCAGAGTGAGGTTTTAGGAGAGGAAGATCATGGGGGGAGGGGGGATCTGGGTGCTGGACAGTGAGGCTCATGAAGGGGGTCTAATTACAGGAGGGGTCCATATGCCTGCGGTTTGGAGAGGGACAGGGAGCAGCTTCACCACATCCCCAGCCAGTTCGGACTAGCCGCTGATTTCAACCCAGGGCTGGAGCCACTGGCCAGAGCATCCCCAGGCCTCCCCCAAGGTGATTTCTCTCTCAGTCAGCTGCTCCGGGAACCCAAAAGCAATCCTTAGGTAACCACATACTCCAGCACAGCAGTATTGTGAAGATTAATTATTTAATATATACAAAGTGTTTTTGTCCACAGATGGACAGCATTAAGAGCAGTAATACTAACTACACTATGCATACCTGGCAGAGAAAACTGAAGATAGTCAGCTGAAAAAGAATGCTGAATACAGGGCAAAATTCCAGGTTGACAAGACATGTGAATGTATGATTCAGCTACATGATAGATAGTTTTTGGAAATCTAGAGAATGGCTTTAAATGAACCCAAAACACAGACAAAGCTTCAAAAAAGCACTGTTTACTTATGGTTGCCTAAAGGGAGTTTCCTTTCACACTATAAATTAAGTATTAAATTACACTGAAATCTTATCTACAATTAGCTGACATTGGTGTTACACGTTTATGACAACCATGGAGAAATCTATACATAACTGTCATTAAGGCTAATTATGGAGACAGAAAAATAATCTTATGAACTCAGAAGATATCATAGCGCTCTTCATAATACTGATCATGGGCACATGAAAAAATAAATCTCTCAAACTAATTCTGTTTTCCTTACTAAAGATATGCTTCTTGATGGCAGATGTAAACTGGGACGCCTATAACACAGCCATTCCTGTTTTGCCTCATGGGATTACTGCCTCACTTCTTTTTTGTAAGAATGGATTGATATAAAATTAAAAATTACTTCTTGTATTAAAAAGGATTATGAACAATACAATGCTTTCTAAAAATCTGTATATTTGTTTTTTTTTTTTTCTAACTTTTGACTCCATTTTTCCTGCAAGGACAACATGACTCACTGTCACAGCAGGGAACAAGTAGCTGCACTGCTAGTGTTAGCTAGTATTGAGTTAGTTTTAGAAGCTAGTAACAGTAATCAGATGCTAGCAAAATTATGAATGCATTTGTAAGTTCTTTTACACTCTTGGGCTGCATCTAGACTGGCATGTATACCCCAAATTAAAAAACATAGCAAGAGACCTAAAAAAGTGTCACCGTGGCTTAACCACCATGTAAAAAGCAGTGAGGGACAAAAAGGTATCTTTTAAGAAGTGGAAGTCCAATCCTAGTGAGATAAATAGAAAGGAACATAAACACTGTAAAATCAAGTGTAAAAATGTAATAAGAAAAGCAAAAAAAGATTTTGAGGAACAGCTAGCCAAAAACTCAAGAAGAAATAACAAAATGTTTTTTAAGTACATTAGACGCAGGAAGCCTGCTAAAAAA